TACCGGTATGGTTGGAAAAGACACTTCGTATTATTTCAGTCTGCTTAAATTTGTTTGGACTTGTTTTTGGCCTAATACATGATCTATCCTAGAGAAAATTCCATCGTGTTTGAGAAGAATGTGTATTCTGCTCTTGTTGGATGGAATGTTCTGTATATGTCTGTTAGGTCCATTTGGTCTAAAGTGTAGTTCAAGCCCAGTGTTTCCTATTGATTTTCTGTCTGAATGATCTATTCATTGTTTAAAGTGTGGTAATGAAGTCCCCTGTTATTATTGTATTGCAGTCTATCTCTCCTTTCAGATCTACTAATATTTGCTTTGTATATTTAGGTGTTCCAATGTTAACTACATATATATTTATAATTGTTATATCCTCTCGATGAATTGACCTCCTTTATTATCATTACTACCCTTTTTGTCTCTTTTTATAGTTTTTCACATAAAGTCTATTTTGTTTGATGTAAGCATAGTTATTCCTGCTCCTCCAGGACATTTAGGAGCCCCCCTACCCCTTGGTATTTAATGTTCTTAACTCTGTGAAAACACTTTTGTTTGGATATCTTAGTTTGAGCTCCCCAGAAACGGACTCTGAGACAAGGATTTGAGCACAAGTAGTTTATTGGGGTTGAAAGTAGGGGACTGGAAAAGTGAAACAAGGAGGAAAAGGTGGCCAATCGGTGGATTACTAAGCCAGCTCTCACTGTGAGCAACTGGTACTTACTTCTGTGGGGGAAAAATTGGGAGTCAGTGCAGAACACTTACCTCAGAGTTATTCCACCCGAGGAGTGAGGAAACTGAGATATTTATGCACTGACTTCTTTAGTTTTTGGTTGAGGGCTGCTTTTGAGGAGAATGTAGGTGGCAGAGTAGGTTACAGTGTCAAGAAAAGCCCTTAGATAGAGAAATGGAGCTGCTGGTAGTTGGAAGCCAGGAGCTGGAGTAAGGAAAAGGCATAAAGGTGGGTTCCGGCAGCATCCTCTATCCCAGGCTTCAGATTGAACATTGTGGTTTAATGTCAAGGGCACCATGGTCTCCAGAGTAGACTGACCCATGTCCAACACCTAGCAGGTCTTCTTCAATAGCCTTTAGTTCCATCTCCTTTTACAAAGGCAAGGGAAAACCTATCACTTTTCTATGTATTTTAGTGTTTCTTTAAAAATCATCTCATGCACTTCTGTGTCCAAGCATGTTTAAATCAGCACACCTAGAGCTACCCCTAAGAGGATCTCATTATGTGGCAAACATAGTAATAGGTTCTGGGGATAACAGAAATGAAAGACATAATCCCAGCTTAGAGGAGTTTCTGGAATAGCAGGTGATTATTGGATGGCTTACCTAGAGATCCTTTCTCCAGTGAGAAAGGACTTGAAATGAATCAGTGAATCAACAAGAATATGTTTGGAGGTGCATTAGAATTTGGGTCAAACATTCTTTACTTTTAGACTTGGCTGGCTTTGCCTTGTTGGCTGAGTGACAGTTGATAAAACAATATTCAATCTCTCTGAGCCTCAGTTTCCTCAGCTATAAAATGGGATCACTAATACCTACTTCGTGGGATTGTTTGAGGATTAAATGTGATAACCTTGAACAATGGCCTGGATTTGGGTAGAAGACATCACAAGGGATTCGGGGAGAAGAGGCTCAATGCATAGGTGGCTAAAACTAGAGTAAGACAACAGAACAAAGATAGAAAAGCAGATTTGACGGCTTGGTCATGGAGGATGTTCAATCTCAAGGAAAAATAGGCTTTCGTTACTTTCTTGCAGACAGTGAGGTCTTAGTGTGCCTGAGTCAGAAAGGGTGAGGGAAAGGGCCTCCAGTCTTCACACTATTTTGATATTCTTGGCTGACTGAGCTATTCACAGGACTTAGAACTAAACCTTTAAGGAGCTTGGTTTTCTGCACCTCTGAACCACAAGCCTACAAATCCTGGACCCATGTCTAGGACCTTAGAGAACCCCCGTGGCATGGTAGAGAAATTTGCTTATATGGAAACATAAGAATTTGACCCTGTCATGGCCAGACTTGCTGCTCCCAGTCCTGGTTCTTAAAATTTACATTATTTAAATATATTAGCCACTGGACCGTTTCAGTGTTGGATGGGGAGGCTGAGGCTCAGCACCACGGTAGTCTCTTAATTATAAGTAGATTTTTTTTAGAAGATTTCAGTCTTATAGGGGTTCAGAAATTTTCTCTTACAGTGAGCCTAATGGATTGATGAGAATGTTTGTGAGAGAAAAACTTCTCTTTTAAAATGGATTTGTTGTGGTTTCCAACTGACTTCTTACATATGTTCCTTTGATCTTACCATAAGCTGCTCATGTTTCCCACCTGGAGAATGTTTCAGAGGAAGAAATGAACAGACTCCTGGGAATAGTGTTGGATGTGGAATATCTCTTTACCTGTGTCCACAAGGAAGAAGATGCAGATACCAAACAAGTTTATTTCTACCTGTTTAAGGTGAGATTTTAACATTTTTAAAAGGCTGTTCTTCTTTCTCCTTATGCCGAGTCATGGGTGTGAAGGCTCTCAGCTCACAGTACATTCTGCCCTCAGGGTTGCTGAAGCAGGCGCCTTCCTGACAGATTCTCTAAAATGACCCACCATACTTTTAACACATCACTCTCCTTGAAGGCCTTCACGCTTGTATGCGTAGCTGACTATCTTGATTTGCGTATGCTTACAGATTTTTTTCCCATACGTCCAACAGATATTCATTGCACACCTGCTCTGTGCTTGGCACTGCCGTAGGCATGAGGGGTAGATTGCTGGACAAACCAAAGTTCTTCTCCTCACAGAATTTACATTTCAGTAGCAGAGACAGAGAATCAACAAGTCAGTAATACATTTGCGGGAGGTGGTAAGTGCTGTGAAGGGAAACCAAGTAGGGTAAGTGGAATCAGAATGGGAGGGACGGTGGTGGGTGGGGGACATGCCTGTGAGGAAGGGCACAGAGGAAAGGCTGTCTGAGGAGAGGACAGTTGAGCAGAAATCTGAGTGGGAAATAGAAGCCATCCGTGCACAGGCCTGGGGAAAGAAAGAGCCTCCCAGGCAGAGAGAAGAACAAGCATCTAGAATGTGCAGCAAGGGAATGTAATATGGCAACAGCAAGGAGGCCGGTGTGGTGGAGCCACTGAGCCAAGGGCAGGGTGCGAGGAGATGTAGTTGGAGAGGTGGCTCTAGGTCCTGCCCCTTATGCTTCAAGGGGAGGAATCAAGATTCTCCAAAGTTGTTTTGGCTTCTTACACGTGTTACCTGTGTCTTGTTGACACCGATCCCTGATTATTGCTGTCATTCTCCGTAGCTGCCTCCTCATGCTTCTACCTCAGCTCCGTTTGGGTCACGTCCATTCCCTTCGCACAGATGTTTGTCTTCTCAAGCTTCTGATTACAGTCAGGACTAACAGATGTGGGAGGGAAACTGGTGATGGGAATGGATAGCAAGACTTGAGGTTGCTGAAAATAGATTCATAAAGGAGGCTGCCAGAAGGAATAACCTTTCAAAAAAAATAAACCTGCTGTCAAGGGCATTGTAGATTAAGTCATATTGTGTAACCTGTATAAGGATGTTTAAAAGCAAAACAAAGCTCTCAGAGCTTACGGGCAGGAACATTTTGCCTCGTCTAATAAGAGGTACTGTGCTTCATTTTTATATGACAAGGATAGCTAAATTTTCCATTGAGTTCCCTCTTTTGCCGTGGCTGCTAGGAATCTCAGTGCAAATTTTTTTTTTTTTTTTTTTTTGCGACAGAGTCTCACTCTGTTGCCCGGGCTAGAGTGCTGTGGCGTCAGCCTAGCTCACAGCAACCTCAAAGTCCTGGGCTCAAGCGATCCTCCTGCCTCAGCCTCTCGAGTAGCTGGGACTGCAGGCATGCGCCACCATGCCTGGCTAATTTTTTCTATATATTTTTAGTTGTCCGACTAATTTCTTTCTATTTTTAGTCTCACTCTTGTTCAGGCTGGTCTCGAACTCCTGCCCTTGAGCGATCCTCCCTCCTCGGCTTCCCAGAGTGCTAGGATTACAAGCGTGAGCCACTGCGCCCGGGCTCAGTGCAAATTTTGTACCCAATTCCTATAGTTTTTTTCTTTGTCTGAACTTATTTGATCCATACTTTTCCCTTCTCCCCTTTTATTAACTTTTGTCGTTTATTGTGCTGGGGGGGTTTTGGGTGGAATGGAGATAAGAATTATAATTCGTTTTTTAACCTTTGGAGTATTATTGGGGATATTAATTTTAAAAAGTTTAATATAAGAGAGAGCAAGAGCGAGAGTGAGAGAGAGAGAGACAGAATATGTATGAATATGAACAGCTGGATTCCCCACAGCCATTAGCAGGCACTAGACCACTTCAGGTGTCTAGATGACAAATTGTTGACATGGCTGTGAGGCCTGAGTCATCCAGATTGAACCCTGGCAGATTCATACTGTTTAGAGCTTCTTTGGAAAAAGATCTTCGTTGAAGAAAAACAAGGTCTGCATGACTGCAGCTATTATTTATCTTGGAACGGAGCTCCCTGGCAGCTCCCCACCACCCTGTTGGAAGTGAAGGTGGTGTCAAGGTTTCCATCCTGTCAGCCTCCTCTTGGTTTAAAACTGACCAAACAGGCCAGAAAGTATTACTCTGCTTTGAAGTACATTTTTTCTCTCCTTCTAACCTCCTTCATCTTTAAATAACAGTGTAGACATATTTGCTTGTGAAAAGACAATTCAAAATATTCACCATTCTCCCCCACTCTGCCCAAAAATTATTCTTTGGGCAAATGAGTTATAAATTATCTATTCCTTAGTTTTTGAAAGGCAGTTCCTGTGTCTCATATGTGTCAATAATTAAAAGTGTGTTATATGTTTAAGTAACATTAAAAAAAACTTGTCTTAGATGTTGAAAATAAACCCAATGAAAAGCTGCTTCCTGAACTGAAGTATCTCTTAGTGCTTACAAATGTGGCTCTGGAGCCCAAATACCTGGGTTTAAAACCTGGCTCCATCACTTAATAAATGTGACCTTGGGCAAGTTATTCTGCCTTGGTTTCCTCATCTATAAATACAGACAATAGTAGCACCTACCTCAAAAGGTTGCTCTGAGTAGTAAATGAGACAATACATGTAAGAACTACGAAGAGTTTCTGGCACAAGTAGGGGTGCAAATGCTTGCTGTTATTAATACATTTTTTTATCCCAGCTCCTGCATTTTGTAGACGAAGAAACTGAGGTTCGACATCTCCCCAATCTATTAGTTGACCTCCAATTGAAACCTCCAATGGGCCAAGTTCCCAAATGGTCTTGTTTTAACTAGGGGAAAAAAAAAGTAGGCAATCAGAATTATTTTATTTAAATTTTAAGATCAGTCTTTATATATTCTTAGAAACATATACAATGACATATCTTTATTGCAAATTAATTTTTGTAAAAGTGGGCATAATACAGGGAAAGGATTAACAAATGCTTTATACATACATTTTTTATGGCATCCCTGGAAGGAATTGAGATCCTTGTAAGAGACAGCTCGTTGGTGACACATGGTCATCTTCAGCCTTGAGTGTTCATCTATTTCCATTAACTTCTGAGAGAATAGTTGCCATAGTTTGTTTCTGTTGAAAAGGCAGTAAGTGGAGAAAGGAGGGAAAGATGAAACTTAAATAAATGCATGGCCATGTCATAACTGGCCTGTAGGTAAGTTTACAGAAGATTCAATCAAGGGTTGAAGGTAAAGAATTTCAATATCAAATTTATTTTCAACTTTGTTCTTGGTAAGTGGCTGTCTGTTTCCCTTTTTCTTTGATGTTTACTCTATGAGGTCTTTAAATACCAGTGGCAGGAATTAAGAGCAGTGTTTTGTTTTGTGGGCACTGAGATGCCAGAACATTTGGCCTGCATTCTACGGATGAAGGGGAAATGAAAAAAGACCGCAACAGTGAAAGTTGCCAATTGAGAGCCCTGCAGACTTCCTTCCCAGAGAGCCCCTGCCCTAGATTATGCATATGACACGCAGCTGCTACAGACAGCTCCTGTCCCCTGGCCTCATTTGTGCAGACTGGATCTCAGCCTTTCAGGTGTTTAGATAAGATCCTCCTCCAGAGCTTCGGCACACCTGCAGTGGCCCGAATGGAGATGTGCCAAGTGTGTAGGGTTATATGCCAGGCTTCTGGGTCAGTGGAAATCCAGAAGGTGGGGGGGGGACGGTGAAGGGGAAAGCGAGTAGTGAGTTGGGATAGTGGTGTCTGGTGGTCACTCCTGGGTGGTCTAGGTTGCCCAGAACATGAAAAGTGTCAGGTTCTTTATAACTCTGGTCATGGGCATGAAGGTAAATTTGGATTACCTGATAGTTGCTTGTTTTATTGATTTAAGAATTTGCTTACATATAGTTAAGATAAATAGAATGTGATGACTTCCCTTAAAAGGCTTTGTGTATGTGTGTATGTGTGTGTGTGTGTGTGAGAGAGAGAGAGAGAGAGAGAGAGAGAGAAATAGAGACAGAGACAAAGGGACATCAACTAAGTTTTTTTTTTTTAATGAATTCTCTGCAGCTCTTGAGAAAGTCTATTTTACAAAGAGGAAAACCTGTGGTTGAAGGCTCTTTGGAGAAGAAACCTCCATTTGAAAAACCTAGTATTGAACAGGTAAAAAGATAAAAAGAAGCCCTTTGTTTATTGGCTTGATGCTGGAGAAATCTTTTAATCTCCCTTCCATACCTCTATACACTTCTTTCATCCTCTGTACCTGGCTCAGAGATGTTCACGAAGTCTGCAGAAATTGTCTTGGACCCTTAGGATCAAAATTGCATACCTGATTTAATAATCTAGTTTTTGTCTTTTAGGCTTCTTGTATACTCAGAATTCACTGTGTGTTTGGGGGAAAACAATTAAATAGAACATGTAGTTTGTAAGAACACATGAAATGTGCTTTTTCTTGTTGATGTTTTAAAATTAAGTCTTTGTCCTTTTGTTTGGCACTGTCTGAGAAAGCCTTTTGAGGTGAGGGAATTCAGTAGCAATGTGAAAAAAACATTGTAAGTCAAGCAAAAAAAGCAAAAAAGAAATGAGATTTTGTACCCAGAAATTGACTTCCTGTTACATTATGATTCCTGGAAAGAAGCATTTTTATTAAGGGAATCTGTTAAAATGTGTAGACCTTTTCTGTTAGGTGTTGTCAGTATATCTCATCAGCATCACTTTTTAGTTTTTATTGTTTGGCTAAATAAAAACACTCGGAACTGAATTTCTTGATGAGAGTGACTACAGAAGACATAATACCAGAGTCTTTACAAGTAAATGAATTTTTATCAGTAATTTTTCAGTAGAATAAATTTTATTTTGCCTCCAAACTCTATTAAATAAGAATCCATTGTTATTTTTTATTTGAAATTAGATGAAATGGGAGTGTTCTGCAGAAAGGTTAAATTAATCCACAGCTTTTTAAAAAAGCACATGATTTTTAATGACTTTTTTTTTGTAAGCTTGCTGAACCAAGAGTGATAGTACAGGGTTTAAATTTTAGTGGTTTGGTTCAGTGGAAGGCATGCTATCAGCCTTCTGATTAGTGTAATGTAAAAACATAATATTTATCCAAGAACGCTGTTATATCTGAGCATCTGTGCTGATAATGAAGCGAGAATTATTCTGCAAAATAGTCATATTGTATTGTTTAAGAGATTTTGGCCTTTTTAGTTCATGGTTTTTTTTTTTTTGAGACAGAGTCTCACTGTGTTGCCCGGGCTAGAGTGCTGTGGTGTCATCCTAGCTCACAGCAACCTCAAATTCCTGGGCTCAAGCGATCCTCCTGCCTCAGCCTCCCGAGTAGCTGGGACTACAGGCATGCACCACCATGCCCGGCTAATTTTTTCTATATATTTTTAGTTGTCCAATTAATTTCTTTCTAATTTTAGTAGAGACGGGGTCTCGCTCTTGCTCAGGCTGGTTTCGAACTCCTGAGCTCAAACAATCCGCCTGCCTCGGCCTCTCAGAGAGCTAGGATTACAGGCGTGAGCCACTGCTCCCGGCCTAGTTCATGGTTTTTATTTTCTTTTTAATGCTTCAGGATTGCAGCAGGCATAGAATCACAACTCAAAGCCTCTCTGTCTTGTCACTTTTCATCCACTGTGATCTGAGGCAAGATTCCTTTTGGGCATTGCTGTTGTCTTTTAGGGAAATAGAAGAGATTTTTGTGAATAGTGAAATGTCTGTTCTTTGGCTAATAACCACGATTGGTACTGGCTGTGTGGGTGTTCAGAATTAGTATGATTGCATAGCTGCATGAATAAATTGCCTTCCCTCCTTTTAAGGGTGTGAATAACTTTGTACAGTACAAATTTAGTCACCTGCCATCAAAGGAAAGGCAAACAATAGTTGAGTTGGCAAAAATGTTCCTAAATCGCATCAACTATTGGCATCTGGAGGCACCATCTCAGCGACGACTGCGATCTCCCAATGATGATATTTCTGGATACAAAGAGAACTACACAAGGTAATCAGATGACGAGTACTTTTCCTGTGGTCTCATAGAGCATGTTACAGACATAAAATTGCTACTTGACTCTGCAAGGAGAAGGTTTTCCAGTTATCATGATGACTCCATCAGTTCAGAGCGAATGTCTTTATAATTTAACTTGCAAACTTCTACTTTTCATTAAAATTATAGTATTTGTGGGGAAAGGGATCTTAATCATCTAGACCTATACTGTCCAATGTGATAGTCACTATCCACAGGTGGCTGTTGGGCATTTGAAATGTGGCTAGATTGAATTGAGATTTCTAATATTGAGATTTCTAACTAAAAAAGAGTTAAAAATAGCTCATTAATAGTTTTTTTTTAAATATTGATTACATGTAGAAATGCTAGTACTTTGGATTATTGGATCAAGTAAAATATATTAATTCTACCTGTTTCTTTTTACTTTTTCAATTGGCTGCTAGAAAATTGAAAATACATACATGACTTGCATTGTATTTCTATTGAATATCCTTGACTAGATGACTATATTATAATTTTGAAATTGATATATAGAGCCATCGCTTAAAAAAATGCAATGACCATTATAATAGTGGAGTTAAAGAATTATTTTAATGAAAGAAAGATTAGCCTTATTCTAGCACCACGACAGAGCTGTTATCATATGTATTATCTTCCAGTTTTTGTCCCTTTAAATGAAATTTTGCATTAGCTATAATGAAAGAAAATATAGAATTTTGTAGTCTTGTAGTCAGTCCCTCCCACCCCCTACTTAACATCATATCAAACATTTCACGGGTCCCATTATAGTCCATTGAGTTGATGTACCATAATTTACCTAACCATTTCCCTGTTGGAGGACATTCAAATTCCTCAAATATTCTTGGACTGAACATATATTTTTTTCTAAAGTAGAGATTTATTTTTACTGTTTATGAACTGCAGAATAATAGAATTGGCCTTACAAATCTTAAACATGGACCACACAAAATATAATGACATATCTCATTTGTAAGAAAGTGACTTGGATTATATATTCTATTCACTTTTTTATAACTTTTCTCTTTTTTATTTTAGAGGCACATCAAGCTTGCTTCAGGAAATATTATGGAGCTTTAGTGTATATGTGTGTGTGTGTGTATATATATATATATTTTTTTTTTATGTTTATTGGCCATTTGTCTATCTTCATTAGAAAAAAATCTGCTCATTTCTTTTGATGGATTTTTTTTTTTTCTTCTGATTTGGAGTAGGCAGTGTCCAGAGCACATCTCTACATTGATCGGACAAGGCACATATCAAGTTCGATATTTCTCGTCAACAGACCACTTGTGCCTAAGTTATTTTCTGTAATAACAGATGACATGGATTAATGGGAATAATTTAAAATAAGCTTTCCTCTCTGTCATTTACTTGAATTCATGAGTAATACCTCCACTCCCCTTCCTTCTCCCTACCTTTACAATATATACAATTTGAGTTATTAAGTATTTTCCCCTTAATAATTGGTATTTATAGGAATTGCAGATTTTGTAAAAAAAAAAAAATTTTTTTTTTTTATCATGTCTTTATTTCTACATGCTTCGTTTCAGGGTTTTATATTAACAGTTCTAAGCTGGGCACAATGATGTGTTCCTGTAGTCCCAGCTAGTCAGGAGGTTGAGTGGGATGATTGCTTTAGGCGCAGTTCGAGGCTGCAGTGCGTTATGATCGCGCCTGTAAATGGCCACTGCACTCCAGCCTAGGTAACACAGGGATACCCTGTCTCTATAAAAAACAAAAACAAAGAAAAATTAGTTCTATATTATTGTAACTCTTGTTTATAATAAAAGTTGAGATAATAAATCTCTCAAAAATATATATCTTTTAACCCCATTTGTAAACGATTGACGAAGTTGAATATTTGTCAAAGCCAAACCCTGAATGTACTTGCCACTCTTAACAGAGAAAATAATTGTTTGATCAAGACAAAGGAGAATTAACTGTGAAGCAGCTTGGGAGACATGACTATATTTTAGAAAACAGAATAAAAATATGAGGCATCGTTTGGGAGTTACCAAGAAGTGGCCGACTCTTATAAATAACTCAAGAAGTAGTAAAAATAGAAATTGGACTTTGAATGAATGCTGGGTTTGGATTATGGCTCCATCTCTCCCTAGCTCTGTGAGCTTTAGAGCGGTCACTGCACCTCCTTGACCTTCAGTCTCTTCCTCTGTCCAAGTCTTATGAGTGTTGTGGGTATCCCATGGGCGGTTTGTGTGTAGTGTCTAGCACATAGGATGGGTGCTGGGAAGATGCTTGTCGTCATTTTCCTCCCATACATGTTCTCTAAAATTCAGTCACTGCCAACACGGGACTGTTAAGCTAGAGACTTAAACATACAATTGAATGAGGGTGTAATTATTTGAATATCACTTTAGAAACTAAGATAACAGGCAACAGAAAGACAGCAGAAGAGTCCTTTATAGTCCAGCATCCTGAGCCAACCCTGAGGCGAAGAGTGGAGTCAGACACTGGTTAAGAGAAACCTGCTGGGAGAAACTGAAAGGAATATGCCCTGATCAGTTGTGAAACCTGCCGATTTCTAGGTGGAATGTAGACCAAGAACCCCTGTTAATAATAAATAAGAAAATGAAGGCAGACGACACCCACCTCTCCTGCTTCCCCATCATGCCGTGTTGATGAGGAAAGGGAAGTAGAGAGGAACAACCTGTGAAAATTAGGAGACTCGGTAATTGTTTCAGAATAAAACCTCACTGCCGTGACTACATTGGGGAATTTAAAAAACCATACACCACACAGCACGGTGTCTCACTGATACTAATCATCTTAAAAATGGGTAATATTACAGGCTGCAGGCACCAGCAGGTTTTATCTTGATGTTGCTGTAAGAGAACCTCAGAACCTATAATGCTGGTTCAGCTTATAATTTACAGCAGTTACTGTAGCAATTAGAACAAAAGGACCGAAAACTTCTAGAGCACATCATCAGCATGAAAATGGGATTAAATAGGATTCTCTGTGGAAAAGACTGGACTCAGAAAATGATTGTGATCATTACAGAGCTAACCAGTGGAGATTTATCTGAGAAAAAATTAAAAGCAGATTGAACAGTAGAACTGCTTAAATTACTTATCCTGTCTGTTCTGAATAAAGGAAAAACATAAATATTCTTATATTTAGTATATGTAACTATATTTTATAGATACACCCAGAAAACACTGTGGTTTTAGAAAAAAATATGGGCAAACATTTGAAGTTCTCTAAACTTCATGATGGTGCATTAATATAATTCCATGAAGAAATAACCTGAAAAGAAAATGTCAGGGGAATGTGACTTGTTAAAATACATCTGACCAAGAGAACCTGCTGAAGGAAAGTGGCAAATGATTAGTCTCAGATTTGAGTTGGGCAGAACTTCTGAAGGTTAATAGTTACTCCCACATTGGGGAGATGTTTAATAAGAATACCAAGCAAGTTAGAACCAGCTTGATTTTGGGAAACTGGTTTTATGTAGCCATTGTTCTGTGAAGTACAGCCTGTCCTTGTGTGTACTAAGCATTCATAATTAGGGAGATGAGTCTAGGATAGAATTTATCAGGAAGCATGGAAAGAACAGTAGACTAGGAGACAGGAGATCTAGCTCTTAGTTTGGACTCTAGTAGTTCACAGGCGTTTAGTTCCATGAACTAGAAGAGGTCAGATAATTCCTGAAAACTTCAGGATTTTCAGTCCACCAGATAAATAGGATGACATGGTCTTCTGCATTCATAGTTTTCAATTCTATTCATGTTTTAAAGAAAGCAAGGAGATCGCAAATCATGATGATGACATAAAAAGTATGAGAGAGTTATTTGAACAATAAATACCATGCAAATGCCATCTCTATTAGACACACAAAAATGAATGAACTATCATTTTATTTCTTTTTGGAGACCTGAAATCAGTCATTTAGATAAAGTCTTTTCCTACAGTTAAACCTTTGGAGTGATGTATGTGCCCACGGACACCCATTTCCTTCTTTCTGTCTCATTACATGCAAGGACCATGTTAATTTATTAAAATAACCCCCCCCCCAAAAAAAACCAAAACCAAACCACAGGTTGACTCAGTTTCCTTGTTTTGTCTGTTATGTACTTTGCAGATTATAAAATAAGCTTAATCTTGAAAGTAAAAACAAAATAAAGCTAAAAAAAGCATAAATCGAGGTCTGTAAAATGATTCTTAGAGGAAATGAATGGGAACCCATTATTTGAAAAATTTTACTAGATAATAACTATCTATACTGTCACCTCTACCCTGGGAAGATTGAGTGACCTGTTAAGCACTTTTGGATAGGATTTTATGATAGTATTTATAACCTGTCATTCTGTAGCAGAAATAACATCAGTCTTAGAGTCTCAGATATCTGTGAACTGCTCTTCAGACATCTGATGGAAATGTTCTTTTGACTCTAAAGCAGCAATGCCTAATAGACATAATGTGAGCCACAAATGCAAGCCACGTATGTCATTTTAAATTTTCTAGTAGCTACATTTAAAAAAAACCAGGAAATTAATTTTATTAACATATTTTATTTTACCCAATGTATAGAAAATATTATCATCTCACCATGTAATCAATGTGAGCAATTATTAAGGATGTATTTTTACTTTCTTTTTTTGTATTAAGTCTTCTGAATCCAGCGTGTATTTTACACTTACAGTACATCTTAATTCAGTGGCTAAATTTGAAACAATTAAAGCTAAATGGAGTCCTACCAAAACAATAAAATTATGTTTAATGGAAACATATTTTATACTGTTTCCATTTAAAAGTAAAATTGAAATTGATTAAATAAAAAAAATCAAACTCCTCAGTCGTACTAGTCACATTTTAAGTGCTCAGTAGTTACCTGTGGCTGGTGGCTACTGTATTAGACAGCGTAGATACAGAATAGCCCCATCATCATTGAAAGTTTTGTTGGACTGGCCAGGTATGGAGGCTCACACCTGTCATCCTAGCACTCTAGCAGGCCGAGGTGGGAGGATCACTTGAGCTCAGGAGTTTGAGACCAGCCTGAGCAAGAGCGAGACCCCATCTCTACTAAAAATAGAAAAAATTAGCCAGGTGTGATCATGTGCTCCTGTAGTCTCAGTTACTTAGGAGGTTAAGGCAGGAGGATCGCTTGAGCCCACGAGCTTGAGGTTGCTAAGAGCTACGATGGCACCACTGCACTCTAGCCCGAACGACAGAGTAAGACTCTGTCTTAAACAAAAAAAAAAAAGAAAGTTTTATTGGACAGCACTGTTTTTAAAACAGTCATGCTTCACATAACAATGTCTCTGTCAACCACAGACCACATATATGACAGTGATCCCATAAGATTATAATACCATATTTTTACTGTACCTTTCTATGTGTAGATATGTTTAGATACACAAATACTTGCCACTGTGTTATAATTTCCTACAGTATTCAGTATAGTAATGTGCTGTACAGGTTTGTAGCCCAGGAGCCATAGGCTATGAAGCCTAGGCGTGTAGTAGGCTGTGCCATGTAGGTTTACATAAGAACATTTTGTGATGTTCCCACAATGACGAAATAGCCTAACCACACATTTCTCAGAACACATCCCCATCGTTAAGCAACACATAACTATATTAAGTCTTACAAATAGTCTTTTGATAGCCAAAGTCTCATGACATTAAACTTCTAATTTTTAAGGTTTATGACTATTTATTTAACTCTTTACATTTATCGTTTCATAATTAGTTATTTGAGAGATGACCTCCCCTGAGACCCAAATATACTTTTAAGTTCATGAAGTAGCCCCAGACTAACGTCCAGCAAAGATTGGCTTTGGAGCTGATGGATTTCTATATGAAGCACCTTTGTGAATTGCAAAATAAATGACCTTTCTAGTTTTTTCTGCTACCAAGATCACCGTTTCAGACAAGACACAACAGTCACTATGCCCATTTCCGTACTGTAAACATAAGATGACATTTAGGTGTAAATTATTAAGAGAAAAAAGTTGAAAGAAGGAATAGGAATAATATCAGGGTTTTAAGATTTTAAATTTAGGCAGGTGAATTAACACCAATGAAAGTTTTCTTCCCCAAAGGTGAAACACCCCCACAACCACCACACCTCTATCACCAACACACACACAGAGGAAATGTGATGTCCTACAGAGTAAGATTTAAAAAATAAGTCAATAGGTATGAATAAATTAATATTATTCCACTCTTCATTGAGGAGCTCATAGTTTGTTGGGAGCTTCCTGTAGCAGCTTGGGCACATTAGAGAGCTTCCCCTCACTTTAAGGGAGAATAGGAAAGCACATAGGAGAATTTTTTTTTTAACTGTCTATATTTTTCTTTCTTTCTTTCATTCACAAAAAGTAACATACTGTATACACTGGTCTACACTTCCCATATATTGCATTTTCACTTAATCTATCCTGGAGATCTGTATCGAGCAGCACTGTCCAATAGAATAGCCACTAACCATATATGATTATTAAAACAAAAATTAAATAAAATTAAAATTTAGTTCCTTGGCTTACCTGTCCACATTTCAAGTGCTCAACAGCCACATGTGGCTAGTGGCTACCATTTGTCCAAGAATAGAGTATTTCTGTCATTGCAGAAAGTTCTGTTAGAAAGCAGTGGTGGGAGGAGAAACTAACTTTTGGAAAGCAGTCCTGTCCTACAAGAGGATGATTTGGATCTGCTACCAAGGAATAAGAATCTGCAAAACAACGCGTTGTGACCTTTTCCTGGTTTGGTGCTGCCCTCTGTGACTCCCAGTATTATATTCATGTTGCTGGATCTTGGGAATTTCAGATCTTAAATCTCTGGGAGACCAAAAGAAAGAGGGTTCTTTTTGAATAGACGTTCACTCTCTACTCTCCATTGACTGCATGTGCTTTCTAAGTTGGATGACCTATATAGCCAAAGTACCGTAGAACTGTGGTCAGATCTCAAGAAAACCCATGATTTCCTCTGTTCTGGGTCCTCCTCCAGCCTTGTGCCATGCTCAAGCATATTTTTTTTTTTTTTTTTTTTTTTTTGAGACAGAGTCTCACTGTGTTGCCCAGGCTAGAGTGCCGTGGCGTCATCCCAGCTCACAGCAACCTCAAATTCCTGGGCTCAAGCAGTCCTTCTGCCTCAGCCTCTCGAGTAGCTGGGACTACAGGCATGTGCCACCTTGCCCGGCTAATTTTTTCTGTATATTTTTAGTTGTCCGATTAATTTCTTTCTATTTTTAGTAGAGATGGGGTCTCGCTCTTGCTCAGGCTGGTCTCGAACTCCTGAGCTCAAACAATCCGCCCGTCTCTGCCTCCCAGAGTGCTAGGATTACAGGCGTGAGCCACCGCGCCCGGCCCTGAAGTATATTTTTGACTTTGAATCTGAGTCATCGAAAAGTGTACCTAGGCGACAGATGGTAGCAGCTTATTACTTCCTGCGTTTTGACTGAGTTTTGAACAGTCTTGAGAAGATCTTTATCTTCCCACCAAAGCTTTGGTGATGTGTGAGTGCTGCATAGGCATTTTAAAGAAACCTTAAATTTTACTCAGAAGACTAGGTGGTGGTGAATTGTGATTCTTTCACAAAAGGGACTTCCTCAGCTTCCCCTTTAATTTTTTTCTTTTATTTAAATGACCACTTATGTCCCAGAAACTGGAATTACACTGTGCACTCTTCATACAATATGTCATTTAATGCTCACAAGAACCCAGTGAAGTAGGTATTATTGTTGTCTCCATTTTACAGGGAAGGAAATGGAGTCTGAATAGCATAATTAAATGTCCTCAGTCATGCAGCCAATTAAATGGCAAAGCAGGGATTTGATCCCAGGACTGTTTGACTCTAGGACTCACTTCATGATGCCACAGAATAGGATGATTTTAGCAGAATTGAACCTAGGTGGTGGTACAAGGGCAAGCTAGTTGAATCCCCCAGTTTCACTAGCTAGTACTGATATCGTCTCTTATCTTTTCGGGCCTAGCTGCTGCTTCTGTTTTTGATAGTATGAAAGTAACCATAATTGGATATTTCAGAAGACCTGGAGATTTATGGGTTATTGATGTTGCTTGTCTTCTCTTGCTCAGGTGGCTGTGTTATTGCAATGTGCCACAGTTCTGTGACAGTCTACCTCGGTACGAAACCACACAGGTATTTGGGAGAACATTACTTCGCTCTGTCTTCACCGTTATGAGGAGACAACTCCTGGAACAAGCAAGACAGGAGAAGGACAAACTGCCTCTTGAGAAACGAACTCTAATCCTCACCCATTTCCCAAAGTAAGGAAGAATTCTTGCTGGTCTTTCTTTAATGTCAGGTCTTGTGGTTGCTGAATACAATGCCAAAGCCTGCATAAATAATAAGCTTAGGAATGATAGGAAAAGCGTCCTAGGGAGGAGGGAGAAAGGACCTTCAGTTCCCTTTGTGAATCTTCTTCGGTATTTTCCAGTCCATTTATTAGCTTGACTTTGTGCAGACTGCAGTCGTTGCTCCCTCAGCCCCACCTCATCCTACCTGGGTCATTGTCTCTGAGTCTCATAGAATGGGGCAGTGCTTTGTGTTGTGTATTCAGCTGCTAGGAAGCTAGAGAGGATAGGGGAGAATGTGTAGATGCAGTTTCCAGCCACTCAGAAGTCGGTGGAAGAGAACTCAAGTGGCGGGTTTTTTTTTTTTCCCTTCTGCTTCTCCAACCCTTTCCAAGCACTGGTGAACCACCCCCTGCCTCACTTATAGTATGCTAACCCCCCAGTCTTTGGAAACTAGACTGCAAGAGCAGGGCTGGACAGGAATAGAGGCTTCCTTCAGCATGATCTTTGGACTTCTGTACTCAGTTTGTTGTAGAAAATACATACTCTTGTGCCCCATGTTGCTTGTACCTGCCAAATCTCCAAGACATAAAGACTCATTTAAATATTTTCAAATGAAGGAAATGTGTCAAAGCAATAGAAAGTTGCAGTGCTGCAATTGGAAATGCATTTTTAATGGTAAGAATCAAAAATGTAAGCTAGGAGGTTGGTTTCTGGAGCGAGGGGCTGAGAATGCAGTTGATGACTTGTCCTGGAGCAATGACTGCAAGACATGAGGGAGACAGTTCGCTTTGTTATTCTGCCTAGCCCAGCATTGTTGGGGCAGGTAGAAGATATAATTTGAATATGCTTTCTAGGTATGATATAGCCTTCCTTCCCCATTCCATTGACATCTGCTGATGTGGAGAATAGAAGTTGAGGGGAGATATTATATTCTTTTTTTTTTTTGAGACAGAGTCTCACTCTTTTGCCTGGGCTAGAGTGAGTGCTGCGGCGTCAGCCTCGCTCGCAGCAACCTCAAACTCCTGGGCTCAAGTGATCCTCCTGCCTCAGCCTCCCGAGTAGCTGGGACTAGCCTGGCTAATTTTTTGTATATATTTTTAGTTGTCTGATTAATTTCTTTCTATTTTTAGTAGAGACGGGGTCTCGCTCTTGCTCGGGCTGGACTCGAACTCCTGAGCTCAAACAATCCGCCTGCCTCAGCCTCCCAGAGAGCTAGGATTACAGGCGTGAGCCACCGTGCCCGGCTGAGATATTATATTCTTGATCAAAGATTAATGAAACCCTGTTTTATTTGAGAAATTAGATTTTTATTATTAAGATACTATTACTAAATTGCCTAATTTGTATCTCAGTAAAGATAGTTTTAATCCTTTAAAATAAGTTAGGTCCAAAACAACCACCACCACCAAAATGGTTTTCTGATAGACTTGACTGACAATTTCTTGTCAGTTTAACCCAAATCCTAAACTTTAGATAGAGGATGTCATGGGTAATTCTGTTGGGCTTTAGCCGAACACTCAATATTTGCACATATATTTTAGCATCCTGATTGTTGAATTTTTCTTAAGAGAACGAGCACATGAGACTGAGGCGTGACATGAAAATTTTGGTGTCCTCCGTGAAGGAAGATTCTGAAGCACTTAAACTGCAGTTGGATGTTGCCCCTAAGAGGGGTTATAAATTCTGGGCATGCTCATGTATTTCAGTGGCTGCTTTTTAACTGGTCTAAACTTCTTTCCTTCAAGATAAAAGCAATTTTCATACTTATTTCTCTATTACGCTTGCCACAGAAGTAACATTTTATGTTTTTGGACGGTAGCTGTCATTCTGTCTCTGAGTCAAGGAACAAGAGACAAAAGAGTATCCCTCCTTTTCTAACACACACGCACCTGTTATGGTGCTTAAAGAGAAATTTTCATTACTTTGCATAGTAACAATTTTTTTTCCATAGCAAATTCATTTTACTTCTTGCAGATATATTTGCTAATTATAGTGTGTTTTGTTCCTTCAGCCCATAGTTCTGGCATGCATATGCTGTTGAGCTAAAAAATCAATGCTACTTTCTTTTCTTCTCTATTACTAATGGTGGGGTGAAACTACCACCCACTTCTCCTTTTAAATCCCTTTTCATTGAATATGACAACATTCAGGGCTGCTGGGGATTTATACCTCCAGTTTTGGCAGCAGAATCACACATACTGAAGCCTGAGGTGTTATTTGAGTCTTGGGCACCATTTCAGCTGGAGAGCTGGGACCAGCACCCAGTGAGGTCTCTGCCATTTTCAGATGTATTTTCAGAGCTTATATCCTTGTCTTCCTATTCTTCATATATACTGCCTTTTCTTCCACTTGGCTTTAACTTGTGCCTTTTCCCCATCCACCTATTTAGTTTTTTTTAACGTTTAGTATCTGTATTTCATTCTATTATAAAAGTGATAAATGTACATGTTGAAGAAAATTTGGTTCAGAAAAAAACCAAGAAGAAAAAGACCACCCATAGCCTCACTACTCTGAACTACTTTTAGCACTTTTAGTGCAGTAAGTCTAGGTGGGACTTGTATCTGTATTTCTAGCAAGGTCTCTGGGTGATTTCTATGGGCCCTCAAAACTTGAGATCTATTTGGTTTATAATGTGGCAGGAAGTTAGCAAAGTAGTTAATTACTGGTTCCAATCCCGATCCTGCCATTTGCTGGTTGTGGGAATTTGGACCAGTTATTTAACCTCTCTGTGCCTTAGTTTTTTCATCTGTAGAATGGACATAGTAATGGATCCTATCTCATAGGGTAATTATGAAGATCAAGTAAGTTAATATACTTCAACCACTTATAACACTGCCTGTCATAGTGTAAGAGCTATACATGTGTGATAAATAAAAATAAAATATATAACTCATAGCATTGATATGAGGATTCAATAAGAAGTTCTTAGAGCAGTACAGGCACAAAGCAAGTACTCGATAAATATTAGCAACTTTTGTGATGTAATGACAGTGACAGTGATAGCTACGTGGAGGGCTGAAATCTTGCTCTGAGACTCAATGAGGAAGACTAGTGCATTTCCACGATGTAATTCTCTTTGCATCCTATATTGTGTCGAGCTATGCAGGATCAAAAGAGGATAA